ATGTGGGCGTATCCGCTGGTTTTACATTGTTTATAGTTCCAGTTATAACATCAACGAGTTATCCTGTCAATTATCCGGATAATGTTGCTACATACTATCTTGTAATATATGAAATGAAGTGTTGTTTAATGGCACATCTGCTCCAACCGGGCTATATTGCGCCAAACATATGGTGACTTTAACGAGCAAATTAAAACGATATCACATAGATTTTTTCATATATATATATATATATGTAAATAAAAACCAATATCACAGAAAATATAATTAAAAATAAATATATCAAGTCCTTTACATATATAAATATTTAAAACGCAAAATATGATAAATATTAGTTCCTTTAGGAACTGTCTTTGAGCGGACGATGTCCACTGACAGTGTGTGAAATAGCTTTATTTAACGTCCGCTTCCACCGAGGTGATATCGCAGTCAGTTCCTATCCGGCCTTATATAGCTGCAATATGAAAATACCACTCTTCCCCACCTCTGTTCTAAGGCTATTTTGGAATCCTTACCTACTATTTTTCACCTTGATTCTACTTTATTCGCCAAAGGAATCATTCCTTGCCACAGCTGACACACGTTTATAATGATTCAACACTATTTTCAAGTAGAATTCTGCGATTATAAACATACACAAAATACGTTTGATCTGATTGCGAGACTCGAACATGCACAAACTGCATGTTTTTTTCATCGCTAAATTCTACTTGAAAATGGTGTTGAATTATTATAAATTTGCGTCAAATATAGTAACAAATGATTCTTTTTGTTGGAAACCAATGAATCGTGGTGAAAATAGAAGGTTAGGGTTCTAAAACAGTGCGAGAACAGAGGTGGGGAAGTGCGGTATTTTACCGTAATTTTCATATTGCAGCTACATAAGGCCGGATAGGAACTGTTAGTGGACATCGTCCGCTCATAGACAGTTCCAAAAGGAACTAGATAAATATATACAATTAAAATTTTGAATAAAAGTTTGTCTCTTTTAATAATGCTAGCAATTTATCATGTAACTCCGGTTGAGCAAATAGCTGACATGCTGACTGGCAACGGTAATATTTAGATCTAATATACATACTTGAGATGATTGCACTCACTTGTAATATAAACTACCCAAGTTATGTACAAGTAGTCGTGGATGAGTGACCATAACTTTGTATATGCAATTATTGATTTAACCAGTATCGTAAGAATTAACTTCGTTTTACATTGTTATATTTTCAGTAATAACATCACCGAATTACCCTGCCAATTATACAAATGGTGTTACTAAGTGCTATACTATAAATGGCCGAGCTGGTCAGAATATCAGACTAACACTTGACGCCAAGCTTGGCATTGAAACAACAGGTGGAGAATGCAATGGTCCCCTGACAAAAGGTGATGATGGTTGTATATATGATTATCTAGAGTTACAAGGCTTAAGGTATGGTGGTATCTCAAATCTACATTTGCCGTTGTCAATAACAACTTCGCTTTGTCCTAGTAAAACATGTGAATATATAACGAATCGTACTTAATGCCTATACATCGCATTTGTTAAGTTCATTGAATGAATCGTATGTATTAAAATAAAAGCAACTGGCACATGTTTGGCTATGACGAGTGGTGCCGAATTGAAATGTAGTACTGCGTTCACTTGACTACGGCGCGGTGTGTCAAATAATTAAGATTATCCAGGCAACGTGATTCTCAAACTAAATACAAGTTGACCACAGAATCCAATAATAAGATCATACATGCATCTGATGCATGACTAAACGAACAGAACGCAATGGTCGGCTTCTACAGTGTTCATTATTCGACTACCTGCATGATGTGGATGTTAGAGGCGAGATAATTAGAGGCGAGATAATGACCATTTATTTTCAATTATAGGCTATAAAGGCCAAAATAAAAAAGAAATACCGGTGTTAATGGTTACCCGACCGACACTATTTGTGTTATCCAATCGCCGACGCTAAACTTTGTTTTCTTATTTCCCAGGCTCTATGACTCAACCTTGGTTATTTGCGCTAGAAAAATTCCAAAAGTGAAGTTTTGGTATTAATTTCAAGAACCTAACTATGTATTTATCCTAAAAATACTATAGGCAATAGATAATATACACCCCGCGTAAAAATAAAGTGAAGTTTTTGGTATTAATTTCAAGAACCTTACTATGTACTTATCCTAGAAATACCAGGCAATAGATAATATACACTCCGCGTAAAAATCTATACTAATATTTGTGACTGTCGTTTGTCTGTCTGTTTGTCTGTCTGTCTATCTGTCTGTTCGGGGTTGGCGGCTACACTAGGTCTGCCCCGAGTCTGAAATTTGGGGTATAGGGGTAGCTCAGACCGGGGAGTAACATAGGCCAGGTGGCGTTAGTCTACCACTTCCGGTTTCGGAGTTATGACCCCAGAGCGAAGCGGGTCTGTTTTGGGTTGGGGGTTGGCGGCTACACTAGGTCTGCCCCGAGTCTGAAATTTAGGGTATAGGGGTAGCTCGGACCGGGGAGTAACATAGGCCAGGTGGCATTAGTCTACCACTTCCGGTTTCGGAGTTATGCCCCCCCCCGAGCGAAGCCGGGTATCCTGCTAGTAAATAATAAAAATGTAAAATATTTCCCGATCGACTCTATTGTTTGTGGCCAAGTAGCCGTAACACAAAGAATATCAATTGGATAAATAACTCATCATATTTTATATTGAATATTTTATAGATATTGTGGATCGGTACCACCAGGCCCAATCATAATACAAACAGGTTACTCCACTACTGTGAGATTTAAAACAGACGGGAGTGTAAAAACGGGTTTCAAACTCAGCATTACGTACACAAATGGTATGTACCAAGTAATGTATTACATTCTTATACAAGCAACCACTGTTATAAGTACATCGACAAATAATGTAGTTCTTTTTTCAAAATTTTTTATATTTATATATATATATTTATATATATATATATATATATATATATATATATATATATATATATACTCTTCAAAAAAAGCAGGCAACGACTGCAAGTTTTACATCTTGGCGTTGCTTGTTTACTTCACATTTTATCTACAGACATGTGAGCGACCTCCACGGAAACCTTGACATTGAATGAACCTTGAACTTTGCAATACGATTATCACAGGTAGACACTTTAGCTTGAAAGTGCGAGACTTGATATTCGCGACGATCGAGGAATGTATGTGTGTGTGTGTGTGGGGGGGGGGGCATCTTCAATAGAAGGCTTGATATCTCGCTTTAACTACGTACATCTTATCAAGGCCTTCTCGCAATACCCTGCATATTTCGGCACTAATTTCGTTTGGGAACAAGGCCAGCTTGTGAGCCTATCAGATTCCTTGATCGTCGCGAATACCAAATCTCGCGCTTTCAAGCTAAAATGTCTACATGGGATAATCGAGTTGCAAAGTTCAAGGTTCATTCAATGTCAAGGTTTCCGTGGAGGTCGCGATGTCACAACCTCTGATTGGACGCTACTGCTCACGTGTCTGTAGATAACATAAGTTCGGGAATTGTGATGTATTTGATTAATCAATCAGTATTGATGTTTCTAGTGAGTTACCCACAGTTCCGTGCACCTCACGCCAAAACAGACCGATTCATTGGTTAATCCCTCACATCATCCAGAACGCGGGTTATATAACACTCCTTCCAGAACCTAGTGTGTTAAAGACGGGTAACGCGAAATTTTGAACTATAAAAAACGAAACGAAATAGGATCTGTGTTTTAATCAGATTGATGGTGCCATGTTCCTGAAGCAACGACCTCAAGTTCTACAACATCTAGCCGATAACATGTACCATGTGATGGTGCTGTCATTTAACCACGTCCCATTTATATCTTGCTCTTAATTCGGTGTTGTAGTTCTTTTTTCGGTGTTCGTAATTCTCAACTCTTTATTCAGTGTTCTTAATTCTTATTTCTTCATTTGTTGCCGTATACTAAAATTAACATTTGTCACTTGAGATTTCTAAATTATATTTTTGTTTAATGTAATTGTATTTTAATATAATGATAGAAAATACAAAAAAGGTTATATTTTTGCATTTCATCAGAAACATACAGCGAAAAACAAATCTAGAACAACACATTTTTTCAAATACAAATCTAGAAAATACCAATCTTGCAAACAACATTTCTCCAAATTCATTTGACCTGAACATTATATATGACAACAAAGGACGCTAGTCGTGTGCTGTGAAACGGCTCTACCAACCGATAATACAGTAAAGAGCTGTTTGGTCTTCCAAACATGATATCGAACGTAAATTACTGAACGAAATTGCAGCATTTTTGGAGTGATATTCCTTTTAGGGATTCCCCAAACTGACGCTCAAAGACTTTACTATGGAATCATTGTTTGGCTGTGAATTTTACGATCTACTGTAGGCTGACCACTTATTTATAGTCAAATGCCGTCTTAATAGCACTATAACACGCCCATCGCAATCTTAAAACGTGTTTCAGAAAGCTCATTTATTATGGTGGCTGATTGGTATCATGTCGGGATGTCGTGGTGTCGCCCTTCATAAGGCGACAACCCGACATCACGACATTTTAACCCGACACCACGACAACCCGACAACCCAACAACCCGACAACACGACATCACGACATTCGTATACGTCATCATCATCATCTAACACTACAGTAACAACGTATTGTGTCGCCCATACTGACTCTAGCGAGCTAGGTAAGCAAGGTATTATTTTCTCACTAAAATATTCTTTTACATTGTAAAGGCGTTCACAGGGCTGAAACCCGATCGTTTAGCAGTAAAAGGTTGGCTAGTACATTTGATTGGTTCCGAAATTTGTGCGGCAAGGATTCAATAGGGCGGTTCCTGAACATACAGGGCGAGTGTAATGAGACCAACGTTCAGAGCTGAGCTATAATAGTACAAGTAACGGCATGAATTACTTGGGTTGACGAAGAGCCGGTTTAAGTTTTATATACAACTGATCAACCGGATACACTGGACAGGCTGTTACATTTAGAAGCAGAATTAATTTCTTCGAATATGGATTTACTTTTGGTCATTCATCGAGATCAAGTGTTAACATAAGCAGACATTAATGTAATAATTTATAAAGTCAGAAATAAACCAATGGTAAATAAGACAAGAGATTAATCACAAGATTGACAATAACAATGTTATTGTGTGTAATTATCGACCCAAAAATTTACTGATAACAGCCCAAAAATTTGGTCATAACGGCCCAAAAAACCCAAAACAAACCATTATTACATGTACGAAATGATATTTATTAACATAAATATTGCATAATAGATTAGATACATTACATAAACATTAACATTAATTTAATACATATATTTATATAGACATAAATATATATTGCATAATAGATAATATAAATACATTACATTACATAAGCATTTAATACTTAAATTTACATAGACATTTAACATAATGCAAACTATAATATTTCACATACATAATACATTGTATAAAAGATACACAAACTAAATATTTATTTCAATAATATTATTTCACATACATAATACATTTACTGTCTGAGTCTTGGTAAATTTTAAACGGATTTCTTCGATTATGAACAAACTACTTTACTTTGGTTATTATAAACTTACCTGTGTGTTTGTAATGAACTCCCGTTCGATAAAATCCATTGCACAACTAATTATCACAACGATGAAAACAAGTTCTCTCTTGAAAAATTGAAATATCACAAACTTTTCCCAGAGAAAAATACCAATATGGAAGATGGTTACGTCACTCTGCGGAAGATATCATTTCGTATTAGGGGTGACAGCATAGGAAATTCAAGTACAATTACGACAAGAATCCATGACCACTCGGACCAAAGACCACTCGGTTCAAGACCAGTCGGACCAACTGATAGACCACTCAGCCCAAACAAATAGACTACTCGGACCATACAAAAAGACTATTCGGACCCAACAGAAAGACGACTCGGACCAATAATAAAGTGTTGTTTTAATAAATTGATAATTGCGTTTGTTTTAATGTGATTACTCGAACCAATAATAAAGTGTTATTTTAATAAATTGATAATTGTGTTTATTTTAATATGACTACTCGAACCAATAATAAAGTGTTATTTGAATAAATTGCTAATTGTGTGTGTTTTAATATGACTACTCGAACTAATAATAACGTGTTGTTTGAATAAATTGATAATTGTATTCCAAATCGCAAAATATCGAGAACCACACTTGTAGTCACGTTTAAAAAGGGGCATATAAACGTCCGGTCTTCGTATTATTATGTGCTGTTTATATTAACGCATCAAGGGCGGATAACTTGAAAACGTGTCTCCCCCCCCCCCCATATATAGTAACCCAGGGGTTAGTGGGGTAGAACGGAATGAAACCACTGGGGATACCGCGAATGTGGAAAAAGTAAAATTAGGCTATCAGACAAGAACAGTATACCCGTATATGTAGAAACTGTCAAAAGTCTGGACATACCGAGTCTCATTGCAAGAGTAAATAAGAAAAATTAGATTGATATTTTTTTTGGCACCATTATTAATTAATTCTAAAACTAATCGTTGATTTATTTTCCGTACACAAAATTGAACTAAACAACTCTAAATATAAGAATTCCCTATAAGAATTATTTGCTTCTTTGTATTGTGATTTAATAATAAATAAATAGCATATTGTCTAGCCTTATAATATAATTTAATTGGTCCGACTGGTCTTAGTCCGAGTAGTCTTTGGTCCGAGTGGTCTGGATACCTACGACAATTGGCATTGAGTTTGAGCGTTCGCACACATAACTACCCGCATTCCTGTATTTAGTTACTGTCTTTTACATTCTAGTAAAATCTCTGCAAATTTTATAGCTTTACTTTTTGAAATATTTTGTTCTAATTATTTGATTAGCGACTCGGATGGGATTATTTACTTTTGAACACGCATGCCGCACAAACACAACTATACATTCGTTTTACGGGCTTTATAACACTTCGGTCAAAACTGTCGAATTCGAGAATTAATGTTCCGCTTCTTACGGGGTCATACGGGCTTAGTAGCATTATATACCATTATATATGTTACTGAAGCAGTTATAATTCGATCGAAAGAATGCGTATAAAATTAAATATACACTCAGAGAATTCGGAGGTAAGCTTCATGATCCTTGTTAAATTATTTATAACATAAAGAAGATAGGATATTTATAGTTTATACATGACTTTATTTTTACGAGTATCCGTGCAATCAGTGATATTTTAATTGTGAAGAAAATTTGATAGACTGGCGATCAATGGTTTCCATATAAATCTCCTATGTAATTGCCTTCAATTGATATTTTTCGTCGCCCAAACCCATATACGATCAAAATGATCGCGCTGTCAAACTATCTTTCAATGTTAACCAACCCCCGCAACCGGTATATTGGATTCGACCAATACGTCACGAAGACATTGTTGACATCGACTCTGTCGAAATTACAAGTAAATTTTCAAATTTTTCAAGAGAGAACTTGTTCTCATCGTTGTGATAATTAGTTGTGCAATGGATTTTATCGAACGGGAGTTTATTACAAACACACAGGTAAGTTTATAATAACCAAAGTTAAGTAGTTTGTTCATAATCGAAGAAATCCGTTTAAAATTTACGATGGTTCACACAGTAAATACATAATTTACAGTCAAGATATTTACTGGTTTTTCTTCTTAACACTACTGGTCCATGTACTCTGGTACATATCTGTAACAGCATTGACACACTGATATTACCTTCTCTATACTCATTCCATGAATTGAAAATTTCCTCTTGTCTTTCCGTCCTATTTTTTTTAATGAAAAACCTCATAGTTTCCCCTCAAACATCAGAGCAGATTGAAATGGCAGAAATTGGTCATCATCGAACAGAAAATTTATCGTCTGTCCAACCTCGTGGGTTTTCTCCGGGTCATCCGGTTTCCTCCCACTGCTAAAGTCACCTACGCGGAAGCGGCGCAAGCGAATTATTGGAATAAAATTAAAACCATATGTTAGGCCCGAAATGACCTAGTTTGTGTCAAGTGGACATTAAACCCCATTTCTCTCTTTTCACATTTGTATGATTTATTCATAAATTTAAAGAGTTACAAGATATATTCTTAACAATATGCTTTTCCGGATCGAAACCCCAAAACAAACCGACGGTTAAACGGTTAAGGAAGGAGAAAAGGGATAGGACAAGAAACCCAGATCCTCTGTAGGCTTATACTGTACATGTAGGTTAGCTTGCAAGCAAGATAATCCTTGACAGTTGCAATTCTAAATAAGGCTATAGCGTCGCTAACAGATCCATATTTCCCCTCAAAGCATACTGTACCTTGTATGCTGTTCTTCATTAGCCTGGATGGAGCAAAGAAATAGGACTTTAATGTTTAAACCTCATTTCACTTCAGCCCATGTATCTTTTTGAAACTCCTGAGTTAAGCCCTTTGTTATGAAACTTGTTACTACTTTATAGGCTGCAATTATGAATCTTTCATATATTTGCTGTCTATTGTTTTGAAAGGGAGAACCTATGGATTTTCAATAATGATTTCTAAAGTGATTCTCCTTTATTATGAAATCTTAGAGACTGGAAATGTGTGTGAGTTATTTAATTTATTCAAAGGAATTAACCTATTGGTATACAGTGCTTTCCCTGCAGTGGCTGCTGCTGGGCATTTGTTTTGTTGCAGGGCAACCTATGTTTGAACTAAACTATAGTACATGTATATAAAATGAAAAATAATTCATGCAATTTTTTTTTCAGTTTTTTCTGTGAAAGCATGGCAGATAATGGGACAAAATTAACCATTGACAAAAAATCATTTAAGTGTGAAATATGTGGTAAATCTCTTGCTCACAAGTTCTCACTACACTCACATATGAGGATTCATACCGGGGAGAAACCATACAAATGTGATGTTTGTGGTAAATCATTTAACCAGCGTAGTAATCTACGCCACCATTTGAAAATTCACAAGTGTGAGAAACCATATAAATGTGATGTTTGTTGTAAATCTTTTGCATTAAAAGGTAATCTAAAGGTACATTTGAAACTTCACAATGGAGAGAAACCTTATAAATGTAATGTTTGTGTTAAATCATTTACTTCTTCTAATAATCTAAAATCTCACATGAGAATTCATTCTGGAGAGAAACCATTTAAGTGTGATGTTTGTAATAGATCATTTTCCCAACAAGGTAATCTAATGGAACACATGAAAATTCACACAGGTGAGAAACTATGTCAGCCTTTTAAATGTGATGGTTGTAGTAAATCCTTTACTACTGCTGGTAATCTGAACAAACACATGAGAATCCATACTGGAGAGAAACCATATAAATGTGATGTTTGTGGTTTTTCATGTACTGCATCTGATACACTAAACATTCACACCAGAATTCATTCTGGAGAAAAACCATTTGAATGTGTTATTTGTAATACATCATTTAGTCATAGAGGGGCTCTACAAGCCCACATAAGAATTCATTCAGGAGAAAAACCATTTGAGTGTAATGTTTGTAATAAATCGTTTACTCAAAGAGGTGCTCTAGAGATGCACATGAGAACTCATACTAGAATGAAACCTTTTAAATGTGAGGTTTGTAATAGATCATTTACTTCTTCTAGTAACTTAAGCAGGCACATGAGAACTCATTCAGGAGATAGACCATTTGAATGTGATGTTTGTAATAAATCCTTTAGTCAAAGCGGTAATCTAAAAACACACATGAGAACTCATTCTGAAGAGAAACCATTCACACAAAAAGGTACTCTAAATGCTCATGCGAAAACTGAAATGCCATAATGGAGAGAAGTTACTGAAAAATATTTTATGATAACTGTGAGTGTTCAAAGCCACCTTGAGATGCAATAAAGGCAACCGTCCTATCATTGCGACATGTATGGGCTATTTATTCCAATAGCAGTATGTACCAACATGTGCTCTCTCAACAGACCACAATTATTGATCGATTCATTTGATTTTTATGGTATGAAGCATTGAATTTAGAACAAGGAAGGATGACAGCTATCGCTTTTCATTGTTTTCTATTTCTGTCAACAAATTCATATTCTGATGAGGCTAGATTTCTTAATGGAATTTTGTATAAACCAACACGTACATGTAGTCTGTGCTTGAATTAAGAATAGTGATAAGTGAAGAATAGTAATACAGGTACATTTAGTGTAAGTTTACACATGATCTGTACATGTATTTGAGAAAACGGACAGATAAATTCTCATAGAAGCAGAACACCAACAGAAACAGAAGAACAATGCAAAGAGAATGGAGGCGGATGTAAATTTGGACCCTGATCATTTTTACTACAGCCTGATAATTAAATGTTATGTTCCTGTGTGTGTTCTGCATGTATATTATAGTTATTATAATTATATATGGATGAGTAATGATATTGGTTCCTGTGCTGTTGTATTAAAATAAAAGAAAATCAGCTATATTCTTATATCAGTTGGTAATTTACATGTATTACAGAGGCTAGATTTATTGATGGAATATTTATACATCCACACACGGCCTGTGCTTAAATCTGTCTGTCAAATAACATATGTTTGGCGCAATATAGCCCTGTTGATGCTGATGTGCCATTAAACCACATTTCATTATATTTCATTTTTGTTTTTAAATATTTCGCCTAATAGTTTGGATGCAGCTATGGCGGGTGTGGCGCCAGCCAGGGTAAGCTTACTCTTCCGGACACCTGTTACCACTGTTTGTCGTGTATTTTGTACACGGCGAGCAGTCCATTTGCTGATTACACTATTTTGCCTGATTACACTATTTTGCCTATACCGTTTGTTTTGGAACACAACCGGTCTAGGCTGTGATAGTCCATTGGCCAGTCACGCTATTTTGCCAAGATTTCGTCTAATAGTTTGGATGCAGCGCCAGGCAGGGTAAGCTTACTCTTCCGGACACCTGTTACCACTGTTTGTCGTGTATTTTGTACGTGAGGAGCAGTCCATTTGCTGATTACACTATTTTGCTTGAATACACTATTTTGCCTAGAACGTTTTTTTAGGACTTCGAATTCTGTCTTATGGTTTGGATTGTTCGTACTTGGTTTTATTTTATTTGCATAAAAGATTGATTTTATTTTTAATTTTACTTACTGTTATATTGTTTTTATTTATGCATATAAATTTTCCTGTGATTGTAATTTAGTCTGTCTCAAAATAGCCCAGTTGGAGCTAACGTGCCATTAAACCACATTTCATTTCATTTCATTTTGTATTATCTATTTTGTAACTATTATAGCAAGAATGGCCAGCTCTTTATCTAATGAATCTTTCACATTTAAATAATAACAAATATATATATTTGTGACTGTCGTTTGTCTGTCTGTCTGTTCGGGGTTGGCGGCTACACTAGGTCTGCCCCGAGTCTGAAATTTGGGGTATAGAGGTAGCTCGGATCAGGGAGTAACATAGGCCAGATGGCGTTAGTCTACCACTTCCGGTTTCGGAGTTATGACCCCCGAGCGAAGCCGGGTATCTGTCTGTCTCTCTGTTCGGGGTTGGCAGCTACACTAGGTCTGGCCCAAGTCTGAAATTTGGGGTATAGGGGTAGCTCGGACCGGGGAGTAACATAGGCCAGGTGGCGTTAGTCTACCATTTCCAGTTTCGGAGTTATGACCCCCGAGCGAAGTCGGTCTGTTCGGGGTTGGCGGCTACACTAGGTCTGCCTCAAGTCTGAAATTTGGGGTATAGGGGTAGCTCGGACCGGGGAATAACATAGGCCAGGAGGTGTTAGTCTACCACTTCCGGTTTAGGAGTTATGACCCAGGTATCCTGCTAGTAAAGAAATATAAGCTGGCTCTAGGTACATGTAAGATGCATAAGAAAATTGGTACAAGATAATGAATGCTATATACATACAAGTATGTACATCTATGATTGGATGTATATATTGGATCTGTTGTAAACTGTATAATTGGTTTTCTACATATATGTTGTAAAATGTGTTTTTGGCTGTATACATCTATTTTGAAAACTATATTGGATGTATATTGTGATAACTGTTGATTATGTTGTAAACTGTTGATTATGTTGTAAAATGTATATTTTGGTAACTATTATGTTGTAAACTGTTGATAAGGCTATGATAAAACTACTACAAAACATTATTTATAATTATTAGGAGGTCACGGTGGCCAAGTGGGTAACTGGAAGTCGGGTGTTTGATCCCTGCATTGGCCGAGAAAGTTCATCCAGATTTTCTGGCGGGATTCACCCTTGTCAGTGATGCAGGACGGAGGGCCTGACAAGGACAGCTGTCTAGTCATTTCAATGGGACGAATAACTGAGGTCTCGTGTACAGATTGGCGTGCACGTAAAACATCCCTTGACAGTTGGAATTCGATATAAGAGTAGGCTGTAGTGCTGCTGTCCTGTCCGGGTAAAATTTCCCTTATAGCACACTGAATGGCGTATGCCCATCTTCATTAGCCCAGTTCGGAGCAGAACAGTAGGGCATTAAACCCCATAAACTATTCAAGGTATCCTCACGAAACTTTGTACAAACATCAGCCTCTTATAGTAGTTGTCCATTTTGCTCTTTAGGAATCTCTTGGATTTATATTTTTTGGTGTACAATTTTGTTTCCGGAGCATATCTCCTAAACCATTCTAGATATCTTCATGAAACTTTGTATAAAACATCAACCTATTATAGTAATTGTGCCTTTTGCTTATTTCTCAGATTTAATCATTTTTGTTTTTCCATGGAAACAAATTTTCTATTCAGGAATTTCTTGGATTTACAATTTCCTTTGAAACAAATTTCTCTGTTGAATGATTTTTTAAATTTGTACTACTCATTTGACTTAGTTTTTGGTATGTAATTATTATTCTCAGAAACTGTTCAAGATACCTATTTATTTTCTGATGACCATCCTTACATCCGGATTTTGTTTCCGGAGCATATTCCATTATACAACAGAATCTGTATTAAGCAGGTACGCAATGAAATTTTCATGACTGACACCTTAACGGGAGTGCCCTCTTAATAAAATCTCAGTGTTTGTTAGTTCTGACATCCGTTCAAGAAATCGTTTTGAATCTTGGTACAAACATCAACCTATTATAGTACATATATTTTATTTTCTGATGTATAAGCGTATTGTTTAGCATACATATACAGCAGCTGATTTGAGTAAGGCAAAGGTCGTTGTGCAAACCTTACAGGGAGTAGCGACCCTGCCTTGCCAAGCTACTGTGATGAGAGTATGAATCTTCTGACTAGTCCCATTGATATTTAAAAAGTTGATTTGTATACGCCCACATTTTCATGTGGACGTATATTGCCGTCGCCCCTGTCCGTCCACAATTGTTTGTGGACCCTCTACAGGTCACAATTCTTATCCGATTTTGACAAAACATGAAAAATAGGTTTATCTCCAAAAGATCTTGGTTGCTTTCGATAGTAGCATGTATCGGACCGAAACTTAATGGATTATGGTCCCTGATTGTACGAAAAATCACGGTTTTAGCTTGTGGACCCTATAGAGGTCACAATTTTTATCCCATTTTGTTGAAACTTGAAATGTAAGTTTATAACCCAAAGATCTTGGCTCCTTTTGCGCATATTGGATTGTAACTTCCTGAATTATAGGTTTATCTCCAAAAGATGTTGGTTGCTTTTGATATTGGCATGTATCGGACCGAAACTTCATGGATTATGGCCCCTGATTGTACGAAAAATCACGTTTTTAGCTTGTGGACCCTATAAAGGTCACAATTTTGATCCGATTTTGTTGAAACTTGAAATCTAAGTTTATAACCCAAAGATCTTGGTTCGTTTCGCGCATATTCTTGCATATCGGATCGTAACTTCCTGAATTATGACCACTGCTTGTACGAAAAATCGCTTTTTGTTTAGCTTGTTCTTTATCCTTCTCTTGCAAAATATGGGCGTATCCTGCCTGGCAGCCGCTGGTTCCTTATGCGTTGTAAACAAGTGCAAGGGTGTGGGATGGTGATGGTGATGACTAGTCATCTTGTTATCCCGCGCCAAACGAAGTTAGGGAGGGATTTTGAAATGGGGTTCGTCCTTCCGTCCGTCCGATTTCGTTTCCGGAGCATATCTCATAAACCGTCAAAGATATCTTTCTGAATCTTTGTACACACATCAACCTATTACAGTAGTTGTGCCTTTTGCTATTTAGGAATTTCTGGGATTTATTTTTTTTGTGTTTCCATGGAAACAAATTTGACTTAGTTTTTGGTGTACAATTTTGTTTCCGGAGCATATCTCATAAACCGTTCAAGATATCTTTCCAAAACTTTACATACACATCAACCTATTACAGTAGTTGTGCCTTTTGCTATTTAGGAATTTCTGGGATTGATATATTTTGTGTTTCCATGGAAACAAATTTGACTTAGTTTTTAGTTTTTGGTGTATAATTTTGTTTCCGGAGCATATCTCATAAACCATTCAAGATATCTTTTTGAAACTTCGTACAGACATCTACCCATTACAGTAGTTGTGTCTTTTGCTATTTAGGAATTTCTGGAATTGATATTTTGTGTGTTTCCATGGAAACAAATTTGACTTAGTTTTTGGTGTACAATTTTGTTTCCGGAGCATATCTCATAAATCGTTTAAGATATCTTCTTGGCACTTATTTTGAATTTCTCAGATTTGATATTTTTATGTGTTTCCATGGAACACATTTGGCTGTTCAAGATACCTTTAAAATAATTTTACCCATTATTTTGTTTTCTGAAATCCAGCCTTCTGGAGCATATTTTATAATGTGTTCAAGATATTTTTTTGAAACTTTGTACAAACATAACCTATTATAGTATTTTATTTTCTGATGAATAAGTTTATTGTTTAACATACAGCAGCTGATTGAGGTAGGCAAAGGTTGTTGTGCAAACCTTACAGGGAGTAGCGACCCTGCCTTGTCGAGCTACTGTGATCAGGGTATGAATTTCTGTGAATTGATATTCCATTCGTCGGAATATGAGATTTGTTTAAAGCTCCAGTTCCCTCCACTTGCAAAATATCTCTATTTTCTATGTAGTCGTGTCTAATTTTTAAAAGCAGAGCTTAATATCATAAATTATCTCAAATCTTCTAGTAAATAGCAATCAGTTATTAGTTTTCAGAAATAGAGAGCAATATCTACTAAACAGGGCCACAATATTAGGACCAGTGACACTGTTTGCGAAATCTGATACATTTTTATATTGATTACCAATAGCATAAACAAGTTACTTTTCCTTATTTCTTCCAAACAAGTGCAAGGGCGTGGGATGTTGATGACTAGTCATCTTGTTGACATTTGTTGCTTTGACATTAAATACAAATAACTGTTGACATTTGTTGCTTTGACATTAAATACAAATAACAACTGTCTATATGTATTGTATTAAACTATGGAATACGTGTCTTATTAATTTTTTTATTCATGATATTTATAATGCACCTGTCCCCTGTAACAAGGTACAAGTTAGTAATATTATGCAAATCACCCAAGAAATAAAGAGAGAGAAATGGGGTTTAACGTCCACTCGACACAAACTAGGTCATTTTGGGACTAACACATGGTTTAATTTTATTTCAACAATTCGCTTGATCGTAGGGGTCTTTAGCAGTGGGAGGAAATCGGAGGACCCGGAGAAAACCCACAAGGCTGAACAGGCGACCTACTCCTTGTCATGTACAACCGGAGATTCGAAACCACGCCAGTTGACTCCATGACAGGCCTTGTGATACAGCATGCACGTGCTAACCATTGGATCATCCATGACAACTTAAAGACATGATCATTAAACAAACCAGTTAAGGGTTTAAATTAAGAAAATCCACTCCACTCAAGTCTTGTGCTTGAACAAAACTTCAAATTGGTGTGGCCTATTTAAAGGAGCTAAATCGCTAATATTTGGGACTTATGATGCAACATTTCAGCGTCTAAAAGTAGCAAAAACGACGGTAAAAAGACGACAGTGTTATACGGACCATTTCCGTACGAAAGCCGTTCCATACGTGCTGCCGTATCCGTGTGCCGTAGTCGAAGCATGCACGTGCGCGTTGGTGATTGGTCCGCACAGGCCAAGCAAGTGGATATAATTGATGAGTTTGGGCGACTGGTTTGAAATTCTTTATGCATATAGGGGGACACCACACCACAACAATATTGTGCCAAACATATGGGGCTTTACATGAGACAGACTAAATAATAATCACAATACAGTGTACTTATATACATAAATAAAAACAAACATCACATTAAATAATAATTAAAAACAATTATCACAATACTTTATGTATATATACTGAGCGCCATGGAAAACGCATCACTTAGTTTTTCGTATAACAAAATGATCCTGTAAACATATCTTATTTATTTTGCTTCTTATTGTGAACAATATTCAAATGGGAACACATCAATAACAACACATTTGTACACTTATGGATGTTTAATCTGTAATCAAGGGTACAAAGTCATACGGGTCAAAACCAAAAGTACGACACCGATGTCAGTAGCGCTTGTGTCCTCCACGGGCCATCATCACGGTAGGCTACAGCATTAACGCGACCCCTGCAAATGTGTAGGGCGGTCCGGTGATGAAATGTGAAGCCTCCCCACTCCATTACACTTCCCCCATCGATTCGTTTCGAAGACCCAGCAGTCTGCAAGACGTTCCCACAAGACGTCTCCACACACGTTGACGGCCATAAGCGTGATAAAGATGAAAGCGACTATCGTCACTGAAGAGCACACTTTGCCAGTCTACTTTTCTCCATGTCTGGTGTCCTTGAGCCAATATCAAACGCCGCTGACGGAGATGATCCCTGAGGATAGCTCCAACATAAGGTCGTCGTGCACGGAGTCCTAGTTACTTCTCTTAGACGACGTCTTACGGTGTTGGCACTTACTGGTCCTTGTCTTCCGACGACTCCTACACCTGTTCGAGTCGCTGGACGGAATCTGTCACGCAGATGAGTGACCCGGATGTAGCGGTCTTGAGCCTGGGTTGTAACGCGTTGTGGACCAGGACGTTGACGTTCACGTGTTGATCCAGTAACTCGAACACGTTCCCGTCCCATCAACCTTACAATAGTGGACTGATGACAATTGAAGTGTCTGGCAATAGCACGTGTAGACATGCCAGCCCTGGACATTCCGTTGATTTTCATTAAATCTCGGCATCTCTAGCTCGATTCCTTCACACGTCCAACAACAAATTACGACAGATTGACGTTTCACAGTTCATGTACTACACATTAAGTTGAAAACATGCTTTTAAAGGGCTCACACACAATGCTGCACGTGAATATTGGGTTTTTCATGTGCATCTCGTGCAATTTTTTTTGTGCACACGGGCCGATATTTTTTGCGTTTGGGAGCATTGTGCGAAACAATAGTTCATAGTATTGCATAATATTATACATACAAAACCACCTAGTAATAAAATATTTGGGAAAAAAGTGATGCGTTTTCCATGGTGCTCAGTATATCATTAAAAAACAAGAAACGAAAATCACAAATATTTTTAGTCTAGTAATTTACCATATAAACCAGGTTGGGCAAACAATTGATGTAAAGAGTGGCAACGGGAATGATTTAATCTAATTTCTTTAAGATGCTTGCACTAAATCAAAATGAGTTTAACTGTCAAAGGAACATGGCAGTGTTCACATTTTGGTTGAGGTTCTCGTTCTAAGATGAAATAGGAAGAGGAACCTCGATAACCACGGTAAGTGCCGCGTCCGACACCACCGCGATACTCTTGATTACTGTTACCATGGTAACTCCCAGGCCTAGAAGTACCACGATAATTCCTTATAATACCTCCACGAAAATTTGGATTAATCGCAGCAGAATAATCGTTACGCGCATCAGACTTTTGAAAAGAATCTACTTTATTCTCAAGTTGTCGGAATTTCCTCATTAAAACTTCCATCTGTTCGGCAAGCTTATCAATTTTGTCATTTTGGGGTACTTGTACAGGATTATGATGAACCTTAGGTTGAATCTTAACATATTTATTTCTATCATTAGTATTTAATTCCTGATCCACAGACCGTATTTCGCGCAACAGATCGTCATAACATCGAGCAGTGTCATATTTATGTCGCGTTTGACTTTTCAATGCCTCATTACGTAAACCTGTCCAGAATTTAGACCGGAGCATATCATCTTTAGCAGCAATACCTACATGTCCATTAGCAATAGCAATTTGTAAAAGACTCTCTAATCTACACCCAAATGAAGTCACCGATTCGCCTTCTTTCTGCGTCTCCGTTTCTTTAAAATATGATTAGCAGTAGCCGCTTCATCTAACGGTATAAGAATTTGTCGCGCAGTGCCGCGTAATGACCGACGGATTGCTAACAAACTGCTGTGCTCTGAAATAGATTCGTCGGATATAATACATGCTACTTCGAACCGCCAAACATCAAACGTTGTGTCACCCTTTTGAGGAGGTTCATCACCTGAAAACATGGGTAATTTAGGGGCTTCGTTATACGGAATACCGGTTACATTTCTATTTGGATTGATAGCTCTTTCCGGCGACGAAGATTTTGCGGTACCGGGTAAAGGCTGAGATCGTGAAAGTAGTTCT